TTTATATTATGGAAAAATTGTAAATTAAAGCTTTTAAAGCAAAAATAATATTGGAACCGTATAAAAGGACCCCGGGGGATACAAATGTCCTAGCTTTTAAAAAGCCGGTTATTTGCTTTAAATGCGGGCAATTAAACCATATCGTTGCAGCATGCAAAATACGGACGGATAACCCGAAAATCCCGTTGGCTTTAACGACCATACAAAAGGCGAAGGGGAAAAGGCCCGAAATACGGTGTTACGGGTATAAAAAGCTAGGCTATATCCGGCCGGCGTGCTTTAAAAAAAGCAAAATATCGCCACCCAATTCAATACCGCTATTTGGCCGTTTAGGCACTAAGGCCTAAAGGTACGCCCCGGCGGTTAAAACGCGCTAAAAAACCGAAATATATTTACGGATTAACGGTCGCCGGGTAAAATTAAAAGCGTTGGTTAATAATGGGAACGACGTTAATTTATTGCATAACCGTTTTTTGGTAAAAGCAAAAAAAATACCGGTGCTAAACGGGGGCTATTTGGCGTGGCTCGATATTAAAAAACGCATGCTTACGCTAAAGGTAAAAAAATACAAAATTTGGGTAATAAATAGCTAAGGAATAACCTAAAAGTTAATGGTATTTTACGTAATAATGCCCCGGGCCGGGTATAACATTACGTTAGGCATGCTTTGGCTTTAGCAAAAGGATATTAAAATCCGGTTTGGGGATATAAAGTAAAAGTTCCCGGTAATTACCAAAAAGGTTAAAATGATTTCGTTAGAAATAGCCAAAAAGTTAATCCAATTGGGATAAACGATAACCGTACTAACGGTTGCACGCCCGGAAACCCCGAAAAACCCCGGGAAAAGGCTAAAAGCTTTCCCGAAATGGGTTAAAAAAATAATTGCAAAATATGCGCAGCTTTATAAATCGAACCCTTTGCTAAAATATACAAGCTAAAATTACGCGATCGAATTGGAAAAAAAAACGATACCGCTTTACGGAAGCATTTATCCTTTATCCGAAAAGGAATTAAAAATTTTCCGGGGGTATTTCGATAAGGTTATAGCAAAAGGTTGGATTCGGCATTTAACTAGCCCCGTTAGCGCCGGAATTTTGTTTATTTTAAAAAAGGACGGGAAGTTTCGTTTTTGTATTAATTATTGGGGTTTTAATAAAGTTATTAAAAAAAACCGGTTAGCATTTTCGTTAATTTATAAAATATTCGACCAAGTATTTAAAAATTAGTACTTTACCAAATTGGATTTAAAAAACGTTTATTACAAAATACGGATCCGATAAAGAAACGAATGGAAAATTGCTTTTTGCTATAAATATGGACATTACAAATATTTGGTAATGCCTTTCGGTTTGGCCAAAGCTTTAATAACGTTTTAAAGCTTTATTAATATAGCGTTTGGAAAATTAATTAATAACAATTGCATCGTATATTTAAACGATATTTTTATTTTTTCGAAAATACAAAAAAAGTACCGCGAAGCAATAAAAACGGTGCTAAAGCGATTCGAACGGTTTAAGCTTTACGTTAGCCCGGTTAAATGCAAATTCGAAACGAATAATATCGATTTTTTAAAATTTAGGATAACTAAATTTAAAATCGAAATCCTGCCAAATAAAGTTATTGCGATTTTAAAGTAAAGGATACCGAAAAGCGTTAAAAACATTTAAATGTTTTTAAGCTTTACGGGGTATTATTGGAAATTCGTAAAAGGTTACGCGAAAATTACTGTGCTTTTAACGGACCTTTTTAGCAAAAATACCGTATTTTACTTAAAAAATATTGCGAAAAAGGCTTTTTGCAAATTAAAATTGCTATTTACGAAAATTTCGGTATTGGTATATTTTAACCTTTCGAAACCGTTGTACGTGCGGACTAACGTTTTGGCTTTTGCGATAAGGGCGGTATTGTTGCAATTGCAAAACGGCCGGTAGCACCCGGTAACTTACATATCGAAAAAACTGCAATAAAAAAAGCTACGCTATGCAATCCTTAATTTAAAATTGCTAGCAATCGTAAAAGCTTTCGAAAAATAGCGGCATTACCTAGCTTATTTACAAAAAATTGTTAAAGTAATTACCGACCATTTAAACCATACCCATATTTTAACAAAGGAAAAGGTAATAAAGCGCTAAGCAAAATGGTTTAAAAATTTAATAAAGTACGATTTTACGATTAAATAAAAGCCAAAATACCGGAACCCCGCAAATGGTTTATTAAAACGTCCCCAAAATATACCAATAAATAAAAAAGCCGATATGGCAAAAAAAAAATTCCGAAACGATTTGCTAGCTAAATTCCGAAAAGCAGCTTACGTAAAAACAATTACCATTAAAAAAAATATTAAAACGATATTAAAGCGCATTTTCGAAGCACAAACAAAGGACGATTTCGTTTAAAGCGGTATTTAAAAAAACAAACCTAACGTTTGGAAAATTAGCAACGGCTTGCTTAAGCATAAAAAAAAAGTTTGGGTTCCGAATTTAATACCGTTTAAACGGATAATACTTTAAAAACAATACAATAGCCCAACGGGGGGTTACAAAAGCATGGCCAAAATTTTAAAAAAGCTTAAACGGCAATTTAAATGGCCGGGTATAGCTAAAAACGTACGCAAATACGTACGGACGTATTAAATATGCCAGCAAACAAAACCGAAAATATAAGCACTTTACGGGTTGCTAGCACTTTTGCCCGTGCCAAACCGCCCGGGACAAAAGCTATTAATAAATTTTATCGGAAAGCTTTTAACGTTGGTAAATGGAACCGGCAAAAAGCGCAACGCAATATTGGTAATAATCGACCGGTTTACCAAATATAGCTTTTTTATCCCAACGTTTACGAAATTAACTAGTAAAAAATTAAAAAACTTTTTATTTGCACACGTTTGGGGGTTGTTAGGAACGCCCGAAAAAATTGTATCAAACCGGGACAAACTATTTACAAACGGGTTTTGGACAACCTTTGCCGGACATTTAAAGGTTGCAAAAAAGCTATCGATAACATACCACCTTTAAACCGACGGGCAAACGAAACGAACGAACCAAGCAATAAAGCATTACTTCCGGTGCTTTTGCTGCGAAAAGCAAAACGATTGGGCGTTATTGTTGCATTTAGCAGCGTAAGTGCATAATACGAGCGTGCATTTAGGGTTGCAAAAAACCCCGGCGTTTTTATTAATAAGGTTTTACTTACGAAAGCTTTATAACCTTTGGGTAATTAAAAAAAAACCTTTGGTAACGGTTAAAATTAAAGCGGGGGCTTTGGAAAAAATTAAAAAGCAAGCCAAAAGATTGTTAAAAAAAGCAAATAATACGTACAAAAAGTATTATAATAAAAGCAAAACCCCGGTACTTTTCGGGGTAAGCGATTGGGTATTGCTAAATACGGCGAACATTAAAATAAAAAGGCCGTTAAAAAAGCTATTAAACAAATGGTTAAAACCTTTTTAAATCCTAAAAATGGTTGGGTTAACCGGTTTAACGTTCCGGTTAAAGCTTTCGGTAAATTACCGGATATATAACGTATTCCCGGCAAATTTATTACGGGCGTTTAAAAAAAAGCCCGGCGAAAAACCAAAAAATAAAAACCAAAAATACAAAAAAAA